AGATAAAAATGGTCTAATTTATCTGTGTATGTACATTGAAATTACAACTACAGTGACAAAAAATTTATTTTATGAAAAAGCATATACTACTGAAAATTCCAGTTTTCTTTTATATGTGCTGCAATGTACATACATAATAAAATTAAATTTAAAATAAATTAAAACTCTATAAAAGTTTAGAATTTTCTGCCTGGTATTCATTTATTTGTGTATCAAGGGTTCAAAGTACACACAACAAATAATGTTCAAGCATATCTAATAATGCTTAGACAAGAATTTAATTCAAGAAGTAAAGAAATGTGATGAAGAATGTATAGAAAAATGAAACCAGGCAGGGTTTGAGAAAGGTAATTTTCTATCATACATACATTCTTACACAGCTAATAGACAAACATACACACACACACACACACTGATCTACCAAGAGCATCTTTCACTTGAATTTCATTGTAAATATTCAGGAAAAAATACAACATGTTTGCCATTAAAATTTTCAACACATTTCAACTAATTAATACGCCTTACTACAAAGCCACAATTTAGAATAAATTATACTCTAAACTATGTTTTTAATATTTCAGCCTTTGGAAAGCAATTTCAATTTATAATAATGATGTGATGTTAAACAATAATAAACCAACTTGATTTAAACTGGTCTCTCATTTTTGCAAGATCTTACAATTTCATATGGAGTGCACCAACTTATGCTGTGTTTTCCCTCACAGATCTCTATCTTCAAAGTGAGTGGAAAAATATGCAGAGTAGTCAATATGGACTTATAACGTGTGTGAAACAAACTTACTACCTTGAACAGTCAAATGTAAACTTCTTAGAAAGAAGCAGAAAAAGAAGGCAAATAAGGACTGTATTTTATTACACAACGTTATTTTAATATGTAAGACATATTATAGTCAAACAGTATACGTAAATTCCTGCCCTTTATAAGACTTTCACCAGTGGCATTAAATATTTATAGCAAGAGAGCTTAATGATAAAACAATCTCCCGAGCCCCCCCCCCAAAAAAAAATGGATGACGAAATCAAAGCTAAAATAGCAAGTAGTACTGTTATGGAGGAAAGGAATATATGGAACATATGCAATTTGTTATGATATGTGGTGTTCACTAAATGTTACAAAGTACTCTACAGAAGATGATAATATAAATACAAATATTATTGTATTACAGTGGGTGAAAAAGAGGGCAACAGAGAGATATGATGGTAAAGGCAGGCTTTTGTGTATTAAAAGTTACGGAGCCCATAACATTTAAAAATTGGGATTCTATATCCTATATAAAGTTATTGGCTACAATGCTGACATTAATTGTATAATTTGTTAATACAAACTTTGTGGATGTTCAAAATATTGTGCTGGTGCATAAAAGCACACCACTTTCAGGATAGTAATAATCTGTGGCATAAGAGCCCTATACCAGTATGAAAAGTGTCATATGGTTCAACATCTGATCGTCTTATTGTAGGATCATCGAACAGGACAATGTTTCATATGTTATATGTTGCTAGGCTTTATTTTTATTCCTTTTACAATTAAAATTGACATGCATGTAATACTGTGTAAGAATAGTCGGCGGAGAAATATTTACAAAATATAAAACAGTTTGTTTAGGTTAAAATTCATAAATATATTTACTGAACAGCACAAAATGGAAAAAGAAACACAAGTTAAAAGTTTTGTGTAACTAAACCTATTTAAAATCATTTCCCCTTATAAAATAAGGTGGATGTAAATTTACACCATACAGAAATTGTAATGTCATGAAGGATATGTGAGATCATAAATCACTATGTAGGTGACCATTTGACTGCTCCTGCCATAATTGATATATTTTGCATGTGACCAGAGTTATAATTTAGAGGACAATGCCAATGATTGTTTATAATTTAAAAACAGAAGACTGAACAGGTCTGAAATCACACAGTTTTGTAAATGTGCAATCCATGAATTGAATTAATTTAAATTATAAATATTATTTTTTCTTTAATGAATGACTACTTGTATAAATACAGTCATGTGTCATTCACGAAGTGTCAGTAACTTTTTGCACTGAATTGACCACAATGAAATTCATGTAAGATACATTCTAATTGCAAAAACGTTCAACCAAACAAATTAACAGGATTAATTTTTAAGTTACATTTGTATCTCCAATTTCTAAAAATGTCTTTTGTTGATGTTGCAAAGCATGGATACAGTTGGATTTGCTGCCATTGTCAACTACAATGAGCATTATTTGGATGCTCTTACATAATTTAATTACCTTTATTACATAGCTGTAGAATGCAGTGAAATCTATGGATTCTTATAGCTATTAGTTTTTATTTTTCAGAAATAAAGGAGAAGCATGGGAAATTATTATGAACTGCAATAGAACTCAGCATGCAACAAATGTTGAGCTGTTATTTCACAAACAATTGCTCATTTCTGCTGATGCAGAAAGAATTTCACAGGCATTTTAACAACTGAATGAATGCAGTGACTTGCATCCAAGAGATCATGAAAAGCTTCTAAAATACTTCCACACTTTCCTACACATGATTAATTATGTGCCACTGTACAAAGGAAGTGCTAAGCTATGGAACTTAGTCTGAAGTCAACCAGAAGATAATTTTAAACTAAGGATATATCCTGTTATCTACTTCAAATAATTAATTTTGTGAATTACATTTTAGTGTATGTTTAAAGATGTGCCATGTCAACAGATTATTTACTGAATTATTTCTATATTTCATAAATTATACATTATAAAAATGCAATTTACTTTTTCCATATAGCTTCAGTTTTTATACTCTCATGTACATGACAAAGAACCAGTCGGTTGTTTGGTTAAACATTTTGGACAATTTTGTGTAGTGGCATTAAGGATATGAGACATTTGAAGGAAGTGAGATAAAGAAAGCAAGAAGCAGAATTTCACTCACCAACTCCAGGATATGGCTGCATCCCAGGATAGGCCGCAGCATGTTGTAGTGCGGCCTCTCCATTTGGCAGACCCTGTGCTGGAATGGACAAGTGGAGAGCATCTACATAAAAGTTATTTCAGTCCTTAGCCACAACTGATATGCACAGATTTAAATAGAGGGGTGTGTACATCTGGATAAAAAGCAAATATCAAGTTATTCTCCAGGCAACTGCTTTCAAACAAAAGAAACATAATTATCATGGTCTTGCAAAAACAAACATACTTTACTTTCCCAAATATGTCATTAGTCTCTCTGTTTATACATGAAGAAATGAAACACTGTGATGTATACCTGAATGTGGAAAAATATTTTATTGCAACACTTAACAGAGCAACAGCGGACACGTTCCAAATGATATAGTGTTGAAGTAAATACATTCACTAGTTTTATGGAGGAGATGGCCACAAGCTCAGCACTGTAAACAGGAGACTATGCTCTGCAAACATATTTTAATGAGGCTCCATGTTTGCCTGTTCTGTTGTTCTTGAGACAACTGAATCCATGCTACTAAAGACTTATTTTTGACTCCTCAATTACACACATGAGATAAATTTAGTTATAACTCTCTTTTAATTGAATGGTGTTCAAGTTATGGACATACAAGCATGGGCTACTAATATATGCAAACCTTCTTCTTATCAATGAAGTCTTAAGATACTAAAATTTTTAATTTACATTAATGAAGCACATAAATTTTATTGGAAGACAATAGCAACATGATAATTTACTGAAGGATATGCAGGATATGAGGTTTTCAAAGTGGTGAGTCTGAAAAATACTGCCTTCTGGGTTATTATTGAAGGATGTTACAGATGAAACTTGTTAGTATAATACTATTTCTTTTTAGTATTAACAAAGACAATCTTCATTGATAACAGGAAGATATAAGAAAAAACAGACTAAATCAATGGCTAATGACAACAATGAAAAGAACATGTTCCTCAAAATAATACAAAATTTCACCTCTGAAGATTTCATCTTCTTTTGTGATCTGCAAAACGTAACTGTTCACACAGTTAATACCAACAGCTCTAACTATAAATCACTGTAATTTTTTTACCTTGTTTCAGTTCTATTGGACCAACATCAGTTTCTCCTATCTAAAGAAAATATGTAGGAAGACCTCAAAAGGAGATTAAAAGATTCTGCTTTTCAATTAAATGTACATTTTTCATCAATACTTCATACCTGTTTCCATGATGAGCAAGCCATAATTAATACATTACTATCATCTTAAAAAAACTTCTTTATCACAAATTCAAGAAATTATCTTATGCACATGGATGAATGAAGAGACATAAAGCAAGTAACTTTAAATTTGACTCAAATACATACATTCTTGAGCTTTCCCTGTTAAAAGGTAGATTACAAATTACCTGCAGAATTTCTGTAACTTTAAATTTACATACTCAAAATATAAATGTTATAAAATGTGTTAATGATGTCATACCATAACTTGTGTGTCAAACTGAAATAAATGATAAGAAGTCTCAGAATATGACAAGATGAAACATACAGATACAAAATTTCTTAGTGCAATACCAAATATCAGTCATAGATCAACTGAAGCAGATTCAACAAAAGAAACCTGTAAACAACAAAAATTAGCATCATATATCAATTAATTAATTACATATACTGTATATTTATATAAATTATAACATGTTTAGTTATATAGAATGGCCCAAAAAGTACCTGCCAGGTTTAAACTCAATTTTCTTTGCACTGAGTAATTATAATTTGAAGAAACTTTGCTCATACAGTTAGTACTCAAGCTGTTTATTTATCATTTGTTTTCATTCCATTTTGTGGATACCAAAAAATGTCAGCCTACAGTACCCAAGATATTCATCACCAAAGAAAACATTTGATCATCTGAAAGCCCAAAAAAGGTCAGAAGAACATCCAAGTAAAGTCAGACACAATATCAAATTTCATCAAGAAATTTTGCAAGACTGAATCCAAAGAGCGGTGAAAAACTTTGGGACGAGATTGAAACAGATCACCACAATTGAAGGAAAACACGTTGAGCACATAGCTTGAGATGCTGATTTAAATTTTTTATATATATATATATATATATATACACACACAAGTTCGCCCTGATGACGGAGGCAGTATGACCTCCGAAACGTTGGTGGAAATCTACCAGAATACAGACCGCAGCAACTCAGAAGACAGAAATCTTCAGACTCACCGCTGTGAAAACCTCAAATCTCTCTGTAATACGACAATATTTAGATGTGTAACATTTTATAATTTACAATTGTTAATTCGAGCGATGCATAGAGGAAATCAGTTCCACGAAATCGGTTAAATTAAACTGAAAATACGGTTTAATCGAAACAAATCCGTTGCCTTAAATTGGAGGACACATTCAGAATGACATGACACAAGATTTGCGCAACAATATTTTCACGTAACTCTGTGTGTGTGTGTGTGTGTGTGTGTGACCTCCATTTTTGAAACAACGATTTTCTTGGATAGATGAAATAAAGCGTTAAAGTTGGAAGGTACATTCTGGGTCAATCCGTAAGTAATAAGATGCAATGCAATGAAATAGATCTATCAGGCTTGTCTACCTACCATGTGGTGAAGCAAATTAAAATAATATCTTGACTCTTCACACTTCATGCATTGAGCTATGGTACACATTTATAAACATAAACATCTGCATTTCAGATCCCAGACTGTTCACCTGCATACTTGAGCTGAGATAGCTCAGATGGTAAAGGCATTGGCTATGAGATGGGTGATTGGGATCTCATCAGGGACTCACACAGTCTTACAATTGATGTGTGAAATAGAACACTCACTTCCATCTAGTGCCACAGATTGAAAAGTGTAGGGATTTATCACCATGCCTCCTCCTATATGACTTCATGGCATGGCATGACACAAAGCAAAGTTTACATTTATTTTACCACCTGCACATAATACAGGTCAGAACATGATATTACTTTGGATAATATTCATACATGATCTAAAAAAATTGAAATCTGACAGAAGAACAATAAATACATTATTATAAATATGTAATTTAACTTGGTATATTGTAATATATGTGTAATAAAACATAAATAATAGACAAGTTGTAGTACACTAATAAAAATCTTCAATCTAATACAATATGACATTTATTTATTGTTCCTGATAAATTAATTATGTACTATTTATTAAAACAGGATTCTCAAGTACTAAGACTGCCTGCTATTTTAATTTAACCTTTATCTTATGGGAATAGAGGATTTAAACCTCCACATTACTTCATGAAAGTCAAAGTGAGAGGAAAACACCAAAGACAGTGATCAAGAAAACTATGAGAAAAACAGGTTGTGAAATATGTCACAAAGAGGAAGGAAAACTGTGGGAAGAAACTGAGGAGGAGTTGCGGAAAGACAAAGCTACAATGACAGCTTTATAGTCATCAGCCTATCCACCTAAAGTGAAAATATCTTGGCAGATGATGAAGAAGAACAAGAGAATGGGGCTGGCAACCAGATGTGCCTATGGGGTTAAAGGTTTAGCAGCCTGTCAGTGTCACATACAGTCAGCTGGAATACATGTTATGGTGTGACGTGGTAAATAAAGGTTAATAATATTCTCAATGTCTGAAAAGATAATTTTAAACCATTTTAGCAGCATGACTAAATTACGTTATTTTCTACATGGTGCAGTTAATATTCATATTATGTAAATGTGTAGTATATTCTAGGCAGCTACTGTTACACAGCAACATTTTAAGAATTTGGAACAAAGATGATGATTAACAGACATACTGTAGTAAGAAGTAAGTTGTATGTTTTTGAACAGAAAGAAACAAATATATTTTATTTACTGAAGCATTTAGTAAGACAGGTTGTAAACAAAAACAAATTAATGTAACAATATCCACACATGGCATGATATGAGTGAATATCATGACAAATAAAAAACAGCAGCAATAAGTAACAGGAGTGGGCTTGTAAGTGAGCTTCATATAAGTGGTCATAACTGAAATCCCTTGAATTAAACATTAAATAAATGTTCATAAGGCAAATATAATCCATAGATTTGGCGATAAAATTCTTTAGACGGTTCCTATATTTTCTGACACGTAAGGCACATTTTTCTAAAACAAAGAAACACTTCAAATCATCTTGCACATTTCATATATAAGTTTCTCCAAATTTGAACTCTGCATAAAAATTTAGCACAAGTTCTACTTAATAAGCAGCGCTACTGTTTTGATAATAATGTGAATTACCCTGAGCACATAGCTGGTAGTTTCACTAAACAAAAGAAACAATTACTAACTTAACAGCGTGTAATTATGTATATGACACCTTCCTGTGTAAACAGTAGTGTCAGTATATCATAAAGGAAATAGAAAAGTTTCTATGACATACTGTGAGAAAGTAAGGTAATGAATTATTTGAAGAAAGTGACAACTCTTCATAACACCAACATTGATGAGCATGGCTGCAATGATGATTTGTAGAGTTCTGAAATAAGTGACTTTTAGAACTTTTTGTGTTCCATGTAGCTGTTTTTGTTCCACAAGTAATGGTAAATGTATCTTCATGTTATCTAGTGAAAGTACCCTTTCTTTGCTCAGACTTTTCTATAATGATCATAAAATGAAATTGCTTATTTAATGATTTCATGCAATTATAT